CCCAAAAAGTTTCAAGTCGATACATTCATTTCAACACCTTGACAAATGGCCAAAAATGAAACGGAAAAACTTTAATAAGGAAAAAGACGGTCTTTAAATCATTTATGGATTTAAGGTAGGTCGAGCGGTTTGCATATATATAGGTTAAAGAGCAATTTAAGCCAGGGCACTTAACTCAACAGGCATACACAGAAAATGGTCGATAAGAAAAATAAATGGTATTCATGGTGCAGAAATCATCATGCATTGTTCTGCCAAAATGAATCTTTTTATCCTATTAAATCAAAATTTACTTGGCAAATGAGAGTCTAGGTACACGCCTCCTCCGAATGTTACACCACCGATGGCAACTATTTACTGAAGGTAAAAGATGGACATAATATGATACAAAGTGCAACAACAGAGGCAAGATAAGCTAATAACTTATAGCTATGATCCAAGGATAAAATCAGTAGACTAGTAACAGGACACCGTTTACTTTTATGATGATTACTCGTAATGACAAATTTAATTTGTGCGGTAATATCAGAAGTAAACATTCCAGCTAGAGCTAAAAGGAAACATTTTTATTGGTCATCGACAAGCTTCCCATCACACCTCCTGAAGCAATAAACATCCAATGGATAAACAAGAAAAACACGATAACGACAAAAACGGCACCTCATAATCAGCCTGTCTATTGGCCAAGCATTACATTTGTTCTGCTTGAGCCTGCCTATTGGCCAAGCATTACATTTGTTCTGCTTACTAATGCTTTGTGTATGTTTAGGAAAAAAAATAGAAACTCAACTTATCATTATAATCCAAAAGGTAAAAATATGGTAACGAAACTAGTTCAAATCGAAATATGGTAACATAAACCCACTATCCAGCTAAACTAAACAGGGGATTTAACTCAATTCAACCAAGCCCTAGGAATTCCATCAGACCTTTAAAGGAAAAATCCAATCACACAAAAAACTGGAACATCCATAACGATATTTCAAATCCAGAAGCTAAAAAAAAAAAATCCCTCGAATAAAAAATGAACCAGGAACTAGCATCACACAAATTCCTAACAAAATAAAAAGATTTCAACCATTCAGACGCTACCAGACTACCAGTAGCTAATCTTCAAACAACGAACACATTAGAGAACATTGTTGAAAATAAACGGCAACCCATAGGCAACCTAGCAACAGTATTTCAACACACACAGATGCTGCATTATGAACAAATCACAGGAAAACCAGCATCTGCAAATGCCCACACCAAAGAAATGCGTCGACGGAAAACCCCAAAAAAATTACCCAAAAGGAACGAAGATCGCATGCAGGTATACAACTGGAGAACGAAAATAAGCCACGAATAACGGACCTTGCGTTTGATCTCGTGGATCGGATTACCGGAATCCTCAACATCGGGCATGAAAGTGTCCGGGACCCGACCCGGATCGGTATAAATAGCGCGGCGGTAGCTGGTGACGCACATGGCAGCTAAAAAGGTGAAAACGGTGACGTGAAACATTCCCGGAGACGACCAGATCCCGAACCACCGGTCGACGAAGACGAACACCGTCGACAAGTAGATGTAGGTGATTGCGGCCGTTACGACGCCGACGTGAAATGAGAATTTGAAGGCGCGTGCCATTTTGGGACCTTTAACCACCGAATCTCACTTCAGCTATGGCGGAGTCGCCGGCGTAATGGCGTATTACGATGGCGTCTCCGGCGATTTGGTGGGGGGTTTCCTTTACTTTCCAGTAGAAGGTGCGGTGGACCGGTGGCGTGGGGAAGCGAATTTTTGCTTAAATGGGTTTGGGGGTTGTCTTTATTATCAGTTAGTTGAAATATTTTCAGTCTAGGTCCTTGATGTTCTGTGCTTTTGCAATTCTGCCCACAGAATTTATATATCTTACATAGATTTCCAAAGTATAATGCTAAAGGAAATCAATCGATTCAACCGCTCGTTGCTCTGCTCATCTGATAACGAATTGAGCTCGAGTTCGAGCTCATTTACATTTTGTTTAGTCAACAATTCGAGCTGACAAAGATTCTGAACTGTGAACTTAATTTGATTCGTTAAACTTTGAGTTTGGTTTGTTAAACCTCAAGCGACGTGCTAATATTAATAAATGAACAGAGCTCAGGCCGGATCGACAAAGGCTCCATGCGGAGCTCTAGTATCAAAGCCCAAACTCATGTCCACTCGTTTACAACCCCAATTAGAAGTCAAGTACTACAATTTAGTAAAAGAAACATATACTAATTCGTAACTCCACTCTCCTCAATATTTTCCTCTATTTCGAAGGTCTTTGGAACCTTCCTCATCCCCTGCTGCTCAGCCTCCTCACGGCTACTTGCTCCTGCGCCACCATGGACGCGAACGACTCCGACATGGCTTTCGCTCCTTAAACTCTGTTCGGTCGTCCTGCGGATCTCTCCTCGACTCGGATTGTCGCGACGGGTTTATGGGCGACTAATCAGCGGCGAGGGTGGGGCTGCAGGATCGGTTCGCCCCTTCTTTGGCTGACGAGCTTTGGTGGATGCCGATCTTTTTTCCCTTCTTCTCCTTTGTCTTCTAGGGTTGGGATGGGGAGATTTCTCCGGCAGAAGTTCTCTTTGGCTCCAAGCTTTCTCGGGTGATTTCACCTGGGTCGTGGTGGGGTGGGGTTGGTATGGATTTCCGGGAGCGGCTCCGAGTTCGGCTTTTGCTATGAGTGGGGTGGATATGTGTTAGTCGTCACCATCTTGGTGAAGGGAGTGACTAGATTTGCGCCTAGGGCTAGGATCTGGCTTTGCGGGTCGACAACGGACCTCGTCTCGTGCAGTGGTGTTTTGGAGCTGCTTGTTGCCTGCTGGGGAGGGATTTATTTTATCACTTATTGTATTTTTCTTTTCTCGTGTTTGTTGGTGTTAGTTTGTGGGTGCTATGTGTTTTTTCAATGTTTGTTTTGGTGTTTATTATCCTGTTGGGAGTTTATTCCCCACTTGTAGAAGTATTGTACTATCATAGGTGCGTTGCGTCGAACTAGGTTTTCCTCTGAGTTGTCATCCTACTAGATTCAACAGTATGACTGATTAGCTAATCTAACTGTTGTTTAGATGTAAATATGTGCTTTTTCTCTTTTACACTATCGTTTCGAAAAAAAAAATTCTCACATATAGACTTTTAAGCTCTCAAATCCACCTATATACTTGAGATTTCTAACTATTTTAGTAAAATTTAAAACTTTTTAGAAATATAAATAAAAAGAAAAACTATAAGCCTAGGTCCGTGCCAGGTCTGGACCCGCCTAAATAAAAAAAAAAGACAAAAAAAATAAAATTTTGAAATAGAACCTGGTTTTTTCGGGTCGGACCGGACCCGGCGGGCCAATGTCGACAAAAAGAAGGCCCTGGACCGGCCCGATTGAAATCCGAGCCCGGCCCGGACCCGTGGTCAAGAGGTTTGACCGGACGGGGTCTGTGCCGGGTCGGCAAGCCGGGTGACCCGTGGCCATGTCTACCATCACCCTCCTACATAAATTTTCTCCATACTTATGATTTTAAAATGAAAAATAAGAATGATGCAATGCTAACAAACTTACTTCTAAAATGCTTGTATTTCATGAACAATGATCACATTTTATGTAGAAACTATACTCACAATCATCTTCCAACAAGAAGAATAGTCTTATACAACTAGTTGATAGCTTATGTGAAAACGAAAATTAAGTCAAGCTCAAATCTATAATGGACTTGTGTTATTTCAATCCCTAATTTCTTTACTATTGTCATCTCTCATCTTGGTAGCTGTTTTCCGGTTTCTCTAAATACTCACCTAATTAAATTATTATTGTTGACAATTTTCTTTTACTTTTAGCTGCACAAATTTCTAACACTTTATTTTCCAGTCAAGATCTCATTTTTTCCGTTATTACCATAGTTTTTAAACTCGACCCGAAAATCGACTCGGACAGGTCTCAAGGTCACCGGTTCAACCGTCAGGTCACTGGATCAATTGTTGAACCAGATAATTAACTTTAATAATTTTAAATTATATATATAATATTTTTGTCATATAAATATACATAAAGATAACAAAACTAAATGTTTTGTATATAAAATTTATACATCAAAGTGTTAATAATATTGTATCTCGAATGGCGGGTCAACCCGAGACCCAGTCTACCCGAAGTCGGAACTCGTCTGGGTGGGTTATTCGAACCAGATAACAATGGACCCGGTCCAACCCAGTCTCCCGGCATTGTCCCGGCCGATTCAACCCAGTTTACCCAATCTTTGTAATTTTTTTCCTTTAAAAAATATTTTTATTTTCAAAAGTAAAAATTATGTATATATATTTATATGGATTGAAAAACTATGGTCATTACAACTAACTACTGAATTTTCATGTATGTAACTAATGATAAATGTGTACGAAAATGGAACAAAATGTAGAGCTAAAGTTACATTTCATATAAAAAATCTACTCCATTGGTATTGATGTAATGGTACAAAACCGTTTACTTTGATAGAAAGATGAAATCTTGAGCTAAAAGGGCCCAAAAAGAAAAAAAAAAGAATAGAAAAATGGAAATATAAATTCATAATCAACATTTGGGAAGATCCGCCGGCGGCGGCGGCAGTTTCTGATTCCGGCGGCTTCCGTCTTCCACGACCCACGCCATTTTCAGCCCCCAGCTCGTGTGCACTTCCAGGTGACAATGCATGAACCACACACCTACACGGAAAAAAACAAGTAAATAAATAAAATGAATCTCAAATCATAATAATAATAATAATATAATAATAATAATAATAGTCGAGTTTTTAGTTCTTACCCGGATTATCCGCGACGAACCGGATCGCGACCCACCCCCCAGACGGCACCCCTACCGTATTCCTCTCCACCGGGTCGACCAAATTGAACCGGGTCGGGTCCTTGCTCGGGTCGAAATTCCCGAACCCCTGCCCCACCACGAAGAAATTGAACCCGTGCAGATGCAGGGGATGGCTCTCTGCCCCGATTATGCTCGTGTCCTGCAAAACGACCTCCAGCCTGGCGCCGAACGCCACCCCAGCAACCCTCGTCCCGCCTGAAACCATATCGTTCGCGGGCGGTTTACCCGTGTAGTCGAATTTCACGGGCGGGTTTTCCGGGAAATCGGTCGTGTACACCCCTCTCGACCGGTTCGCATAGTGGGCCTGGAGCAGGCCCGTTTTCGGCATCTCGAACGACACGTTGTTGATCGAGGCCGCCAGCATTGACCCGTTCGGGCCCTGACAAGGCCCGTTTTTTCTCGTGCAGGGGCTGAGCCCAAGCCCGACTGTGAAGAAGAATCTCTTGTCGATGCTCCGCGGGACTTTTGCCGGGAACTTCGAGCGTAGCTTCCGGCTGAAGGTAGCGGCGAATTTCGTGTCGTTGAAGGCTGGAAGCGACGGCTTGAGGAGGGGTAGTTTGGTAATTTTTGTGGTGGAGTTCGGGTGGTGGTGGTATTCGAGGAGGCCGGTTGTGGTGGAGTTATCAAATGTGGCGGGGCCCGTGGAGTAAGCGCGTGCGGACATTAGGTGGGTCGCGTTCGGGTGGCGGTGCTTTGTTCGGAGGAGGACATTTGTCGTCTGACCTGGCGCAATTAGGACAGTGTCGGTTTTGAAGGGTTTTACGTACACGGCATCGGCCTCGACAACTGTCAGGCTGTGATTGGCTATGCTGAAAAAGAGCTCGTCGTTTAGCGCGGCGTTGATTAGCCGGAGTAGGTATGTTTCCCCCGGTTTGACTTTCAACTTGAATGTATCTGCATTATAATTTACAGTCAAGAAAATATTTTTTTTTTTTAATTTTTATTTTATGTGATGATTTTTGGTAATTTACCTTTGGCAGAACAATTGTATAAGAGTCCAGGAAGGCCATTAATGGTGTATGCATCAGAAATATTGGGTGCTCCTCCAGTTTGCAGTGCTCGGTTTATGATACTCTCTGTATCTGCTTTCCACCATTCACCTAATATATATATAAAAATATATATTATTTACTACATTTGATAAATTTTTAATGGAATATATAAATAATTGTCAGTTTTAACGAAAAAAATCGATGTCGATTGTACCGAAAACGATGGGGATTTCCTTGTAGGGTCGAGGGAAAGGATAAGGAACTCCACGTTTGGGAAGGATGAAAATGGGCCCGTAGAGCGTGGCCCGAAGCCACGAAATGTGCGCGTGCCAAAATAAGGTGCCTCGTTGCCCGATGATGGTGAAATTGTAAACGTAGCTTTGGCCTGTCTGAATCGGGCATTGAGTGATGTATGCGGGCCCATCTGCCCAACCGCTCCTCAACTGTCTAACTCCGTGCCTATGAGAGTTACATTGTTCGAGTTTACTAAAAAAAAAGTTTATTATTGTCGAAAAAAAGTTAACGAGCAAAGTGGATTTGAGAATTCTACCAATGGATTGAAACATTGTATTTCACATGGTTGACGACTTTAACTGTGACTCGGTCGCCTTCCCGTGCGGTGATTGTGGGCCCCGGGAACTGGCCATTAACGGTCACGATGTTTTTCGATTGGCACAATCTCGTGACTTTCTGCATTTTGATCTGTGTACGCAAGAGCAATAGCATTTTACGTAACAAAGAATAAAAAAACTAGTCGAAATTATTTTTGCAGATAAGTAAAGCGTTAGTATTGCATACGTCGAACTTGTAGTGTCTCGTGAACCTCGTGTGTTTCGACTGAGCCGCCTCGGCTAGAAAGCACAAGATGGTGATTAGAAATAGCAACTTCTTGAAAAGAACCATTTTTTTTTTTCTCTAAGTTTTGATGAAGAGTTATGAGTATGGTAATTAAGAGTGAATGTTAAGTTGCTAGGAGCTTTAGGATGGTTGAGAATAGAGGCATTGAAGGATGAATATATAGTGTTGTGGTTAAGTTAATGACTTGAGTTTGTTTTTGCATTGTGTTTGTTGATTTGGTGTGTACTTATGAGAAAAATTTTGTTGAAAGCATAATAACAGATTGAATGTTGACATGAATTAATAGGCTGTTGCCCAACTCTAGATTTGGAGTGGTGTCCAAGTGAAATATTATTGGGTGATGGATTGGAGTCATTATTAATGAATATAATTGAATAATAGTAACCAATTTTTATTTTTTTTATTATTTTTTTTTTTTGGTAAAAGTAATGTTTGCAATGTGCTCCCTGAATTGAGATTCATATGATAATATTAGTTATTGGCGCTTAATTTGAGTTATTTGATTATTGTGTCATTTTAGTGTGAGAGTTTTTATGGAAGTGAAGATGGGAATAAGAAAGCAAGTAGTATTATATACATGGAAGGCTCATGCTAAGCAAGTTTTATAATAAATATAAAATAATTTGAAGCGGATTTTCATTTATCTAAAAACCATTTACACAAATATGACATAAAAGAAGTATTATTTTTTAATATTTTTTTGTTCTAGATCATATATATTTGAATAGTTGGACTAATGTGAGGCTGATGTAATGGTTATACAATTGTACTACTTCACCATATATATGCACAATACAAACTAAAATATCAACAAAATATATAAATAAGAATATGACATTTCTAAATAACATAAATATGCATTTTTGCTAAAAAAAGAAAAATATATAACGAATCAACAAGTCTAACGATCAGGCCATGTAATACAATAATTTATGATATTTTAATTACTAATGTAGCTATGCCCATCTGCTGAGAAAGGGATTGATTAGCAACAATTACTATGGATTATAAGTTACTTTTTTGGGGGGAAAATAGAATAGTTAAAAGGTTGCTCTCATGGGCAATTGACAACCGTACACTTGCTAATCAAGAAAAAGTGTTAACCCCCATTTTGTTGGTTGTCAGTCATGGAAATCTTGAAGTTTCAATATATAAAAGTGTTAACCAAATGCTCCGAGTGAAATGAAAAA